AAAACAATGCATTCTTACTTATCATTCTTACTACATCCACCATAATGCCTCAATATCTCTATGAAAATCCTAACTAGTCCCCATATGTACAATTCATGTCTGTGAGGGTGGGGGAATAAAAAAAAGCCCATCCTCATAGTTGCCATGAAACTATCTATAGAAAAGGTACAGGGAGGCAACTTTACATCAGTGGGAAAGTCACTGATGCCAAGCTGCCAGATCAGGACTGATAATATCGCTGATATAGCAGGAGAACCAGATCATATATGGCGGCAATATTCTAAGCATGGACAAATGCTAGATTTATAAATATGCAAGATAGATTCAGTGGAGAAAAAAAAAAATAAAAAAAATGTAAAAAAAATATAAATATATATATATATATATATATATATATATATATATATATATATATATATATAATGTTTTTTAAGCATTTCACTCTAAACAAGGCAGGATTCCACTAGCATGCAAGGGGTTACAGAGAGTGTGAGCGAGAGTAAAGAGGTGTGAATGAGGAACGGATGAAGAGAAAGACAGGGAATAGATCAAGGCATCTGGAGATGTTGATTGACATTACATTTGAATAGTTGGAGATTATAGCTATCAGGGAAACTAGTAATAGGAAGGGAATTCCACAGACAGGAGGTGTGAGACATAAAGCTATTGATGTAGAAGAGACAACTACATTTAACTGTTTTGATAGTGAAAGGGTGGGACCGAGATGCCAGCCTAGTAGCACATTTAAATTCATGCAGTCTGGGAACAAGCAAAAGTAGCTCGTCAGAGTAGTTACTGTGAAAGTATCTGTAGAAAAGACAGAGGGAGATGACGGCATGCCTGTAAGAGAGAGAAACGGTAGACGAGATGCCAGATCAGGCCAATCACATTGCATATCCGTATATATATATATATATATATATATATATATATAGAAAAAGTTGCAAATTAAAAAAATAATGTTTTTTTATGAAAGTATTTATTTATTTATATGTATATTTGATATTTCAGATTGACCTCAATCTTTCTTTTTTTTTTAGGTCAATCTGAAATATCAAATATATATATATAAATAAATAAATACTTTCATAAAAAACCATTATTATTTTTTAATTTGCAACTTTTTTATATATACATATTAAGAAAGTATACACGGCTTCTCATTATATATATATATATATATATATATATATATATAGATTTATAGATAATTTATATATATAAAATTAGCCAAGGTAGCAGCGAAATCGGCTGATTTCCTAATTCTCTATAGTTAAAAGCTCTGCATGTTAAATTTTTATCTTTTTATATGTCTATTGAGTACTTTTTTAATACTAGTGTTTCTTGGGCTAATTCAGTTTTAACCATTAACTTTTTTATTATTATTATATATATATATATATATATATATATAAAGTTAAAAGAGAAAAATAAGGAAAAGGGAGAGGGTGTAAGGAGACAAGAGTGAATGTGTATAAAAAGGTTGTAAAAAGAAAACTATATGTTAATAAGAAATCCTGTTACTGAATCTGTAATGTGTACGTCTGGAAGAAAGGAATGTGCATCTGTGTGTGTTTGTAGTCTCGTTTTATTCACTTTTAAATGCAGTAGAGGTCCATTCACCAAAAAGTGGAGGCCGGGGGTAACTTTTCTTAAACCTGCACATGAAAAAGAAAAGGCCTCTTGAAATGGACTTATCCCTTGGCCCTTCTTTTATACATCAAACCAAATCATAGCTGCCGATTTTTAGATGCTTTTTTCTTTCTTGTTTCACCCATACACCCCACCTGATGGAAGATCTGAAGAAAAACTGGAGGAGAAAGAACATGATCTCATGGGGAACAATAAAGAACTGTGCTTTCATACTGAACAGTTCGTAGGTAGATGCTTACATAGAACCAAATATGTTTTTATTTACACTGTTTCTTCATCTTTGATAATTTTTCTGCATTTTTAAAAAAATCTATAATATTAAAAAAGAAAAATGCTATAACTCAAGTATAACAGTCAGATTCCAACAAGTACTACATCATGTTTAAAGACCTAGAATAATTTGAGAAAAAATAAAAAATTTATTCATTATTTACACTATATATATTCGGACTATTGTCCTCATCTTTGTTGTTGTTATCACATTTCAACCGTTGTGCACTCTGACCTTCATTTTTGGTGTTTTTCATCACTTGATCACCTTCTGACTGAATATCTGGGATTAAGAGTTATAATTATTTAGACTATATACATTCGGACTATTGTCCTCATCTTTGTTGTTGTTATCACATTTCAACCGTTGTGCACTCTGACCTTCATTTTTGGTGTTTTTCATCACTTGATCACCTTCTGACTGAATATCTGGGATTAAGAGTGTTGAGATGTTGAGTGTTTCCCCGTGCGTGTATTGAAATAAGGACAAACACATACGTAGGGAAAAATACTGGTATATCTGAAGAGGTATTTACAACAGAGAAATTAGTAGTCAAACGAACGCAGGTTAGTCAGT